CACTCCATAATAGCTCCACGTCCCTTCAGCAGCATACTCTCGGGCTTCATATCTATTACTCTGTGGCGAGTACTAAAGAGGAACCTTCAATTCCTCATACCCTTTCAATTTCATGTTTTTGAAAGGCTTGTGAAGCCGGCCTTCACGCCATTGTAGAGACGGGATGCATTCGCTGCAGCCTAACAAGGGAACCCCAACAGGTCGATCCGGCCACTTTACAATGAGATGTATATATATGGACGGGTCTTGAGCCGCTGAATCCAAATCTGCCCTCCGATTTTGCGGAACGATTCTCTGAAGGGAGTTACGGACCATTTAATCTTTGCTGTGTTTGCACAAGCTGACCAGGAAAGGCCAATACGTCAGCTCCGGCCATTTGCAACGAATGTACATCATTGTACTCACCTTGACCACGATGAACTCAAGACTATCTTTAAAATTTGCGGAACGATTCTCTGAGCGGAGTTGTGAGGTTTTTCTTTATTGCTTTTCTTCTTCCGGGCGCGCCAGCGCCAAAGCGTTAGCACCTGTAGCGCAACTCACAGCGCTCTTCGCGCAAAACAGGTATCATATTCGTGTTCAGGGGGTCGAATAACCCCTAGAGACGTCACCCTAGCGAAATCCGAGGTTCTAACTCATCTTCGAGAAAATGGGTTATGAATAGCTATGGCTGACTGATAGCCACAGCGATACTACGACTAGCATACTGGTGATGACTGGTCTTTCCAACTGAAATACCTCTTCATCGTGCCTTTTCGCAAAGACATTACCCGGCTTACTTATTCTTGCCGTCTGCATCATTGTCCTCTTTACCACGAGGGAGTTCCATCTCGAGACCATTCATTGATGGTAGGTGAGCTCCCTCTGCTTCTGATTACCCATGAAACAGCACACATTTTCCAAGTTCGGTCGAAATATCAGATTCGGCTAGAAACTTGTCTCCAGGGGTAGTTTGACCGCTGAACATGAATATGATGGTATTTCATTGCAAAAACCCTTGTGACATGCGGTTATACCTCATAATAAAAAAGTTTTCAAGAATAACCACACATGGGGAATCGCCCGCCTTCCGTTGGCAAATAATCAAGAAACCAGGTGAAATGGCCAAACAGAAATTTGGGAGGGCTCATACCAAGTGTTTTGAATGAAAAGCAAAAGGTTACAAGAGCCAAGGATTCCAACATTCGACATCGTGTCTCTGAAGCAATGCACTTATCCACTAGGCCATCGGCGGCTTGCCGCTTGCAGTTATCCTTCTCAACTTGAGCAGACGGAGCGAAGATTAAATGGTCCGTAACTCCCTTTGGAGAATCGTTCCGCAAAATCGGAGGGCAGATTTGGATTCAGCGGCTCAAGACACGTCCATATTTATACATCTCACTGCAAATGGCCGGATCGACCTGTTGGGGTTCCCTTGTAAGTCGCTCAGCTACAATGCTTTGAAGCGTTTCATAGGAAATAAGTCATGATTACCACCGTCCAAGTACATAATTAGACATTTTCAAGCGCCTAGGGCTTCTTATAGTTGACCACCCGCCTCTAAGCGTACTTATTGAAGCCCTGCATAAACTCAATTACGAAACGCGGGCAGCTCTTAAACGCCTGGAAGAGGTTGGATCTTCTTTTTTCCACAATGGTATTCCATAATTGCAACTTTTTCCGGCACAGTATCCTAATGATGCAAGGGTGCTGGAGAAAAAAAGATCAGGAAAGAAGGGCCAAGATAGCGGAAGAAATGGAAAGGTGGGCTTCCTCGATTCGTCTTGGATGCAAGTGGTGCATACTTAAATAAATGAAGACACAAATGAGCCGCCCTCTTCAGGTTCGATGAGCTTTATCGGAGTGGAGTAACTGACGATCAGATAGACTATTACTGCAGGAAAATGGCGGGTATATTACAGACATAACTTCATAGTTTTGTTTTGTAATTCGCATGTGTTCCTTATTGTATTGGAATGTGCTGCTTTTTTCATATTGTAATTGTAAAGCTTGTGCAAAGTTACTATTAATATTTTGATACTAATAAATCTTGATTCAGTCTCTTGTTATTCTTTGAGATGAGCGTTATAACAAGGGGTCAGTCAATTATGAGAGGGCTCCCCATTGGCAAGGGAGACTAGGTGCGAGATGAGCCAGCCTAATTGCTGGCCTATCTAAAGACACACACTTTGAAATTACATAACTTTTTCAACTTTTTAATTTCACATCCACTCTTTGCGCAACGAAGATACTCAGGACAGCGCATCCGGCAATTCAGGCTTCGCCCCCTTGGCCACGCCCACTTGCTTTTTGCGGAATTTTGATATTTTTTCAAAATTTTTGCATTTTTGGACTGCTCCACGAAGCCCCGCCCACTGTGAGAGGCTCCGCCCACTTTGAAGAAGCCCCGCCCACTTTTCAAAAAATCGGCAGTATAGTCTCGACTTGTATGCTAGGGTACTGCTAGTCTTTCGGAACAAACTCACCTGATTTATTTGTTCCGAGCGACGAAGGATACCCTAGCATGCAATTAGAAACAAAGAAAAACAAAATATTGGAAAAAGAATACACTCCAAAGCACAGATGATCCGTTTCGCCTGTTATCGCAGACGAATCATCGTTGTTTCGCCAACCCCCAGGCTCTTCGGTGCGGACACGGACTACATAGGGCAAGAAGTTGGAAAACACGATAAAACGAGAGAAAATGTAAGAAAGGGTTTACATGTAAATTTCATGGATAAAGATAAAGAGGAATTGTGCAGAAAAATGAACGAAGCATATCACGTGATGTGAGCACTAAATGGGGGAAGAGGAAATCGGATTGTTATCAATAGGCCAAACCAACTGTGGGAATATTGAGTATGAGACATTGTTGAGACGGATTACGAAAAGTACAAACAAAAAAAAATGAAGTGGTAAAAGGGAAATCAGTGTTGAACACCGCTGCCAATGAGGGAACCTGACCAATCTAATCACCTTTCTATAGTTATTTGCAATTGAGTATTTGTAGATTACAAATTTATTTCTATAAACACATTTCACAATGTACAGTAGTTGCAGGCCGCCATCGACGCTCTTGAGAGCTGGCCAGACGAATGGCAGAGAGGAATCTCCCTCCCTTCCTCCAAATTACGTGGTGCTTCTATAGTGGACATAGTGGCGTAGCAGTGAGAAACTAAAAAGATGACGAAACGTAAGTGAGGAAAATTGCTACAAAGCAGCACTTATGCCAGAAGCTGCCCCTATGTGGCAAGGATGTCAATGCGATGTCAGAGACCAATCCGTTAGAGGCGAAGATCACTGATTGGTGGTGCCAGCGGGGCACGCCATCGTTCTGATAATCACAACAGGGGGGAGGTCGTATTTGGAGGGGACGTAAGCGCATGGCCCTTTCTGAAGTGGGGAGTGCAGCGATAATCAGTTGTCGTTCTCCTCCAATGATGAAAAACTTATTCATGTTAACAACACTTGAAGACACCTGAAGACAGAAGCAACCTGCCAGCGCAGAAGTGGGGAACGGGCGATGACAGGAAATACGATGGCCGCCCACAACGACGTCATGAATTAATAAACAGATGAAAGTACACTTCCGGACTTTTCTGGTCGCAGGAGCACATCTACTTGCACGGAAGAAGCCCTACCTAGAAGTTGCACCTTCCCAACACCTCTGCGTGAGAGCCCTATGCATGGCGCATCACAGAGGTGATGCCAATCGGCGCCGAATGGACTATTTTCCGATATCCATGGCAAAGAATGTGTTCTAGAAGCATATAGAAGTCTTCAAACGATCTGGAAGTGGTTGGCGCCGCAGGGGTGGGTTTTCCGTGTCGTCAGAAGGCGTTGCGTCCGCGCTACAACGGGGAATTTTTCCGAATAGCGATCTAGGGATAAAATGAAAATCTTGTTAGAAAGTAAAAACCTTCTAAATTCCCTCTCTTTTTGTTCTACAAATATCCTTGTATGAAGATTGTTATGGTAGTTCAAAGCGGAAGGACCTGAAAATGACCCCCAAAATCACAACAGAGAGTTTCTTAAGAAGAGGCTCTTTTTAAAATCGCTTAAACTCAGATAATAAGGTGCCAGCCTAGTGCTCGACAGCGCTGCTTTATCCTATTCGAAAGCTCCACTTTCAAAGAAGCGGAGGGTTCTTTCCGAGTGTTTGGCTTGGAGCTGGATTCGGACAGTGGAATAGCTCACTCCAATGCCACCACACAAAGCGTGCTCCAAGCAACTCTCACATTGGATGGCCGCGAACCATTAATACTCAAGTGCTGGCACATGAATTCTTCCGTATTTCCTTATTTTTTATCTTAATAATAATTTTTAGGTTCATTTATTTGTTTATTTTTTATGATTTATTATACCTCATTGTCTTTGTGTTTCTCACATTTATCCTCGGTTATCGTCTCGCCTTCTTTTTGTTTTGCTAGATCTTCCAAGTTTCCGGTTTGTTTGTCCGCTGCTAATCTGGTCCTCTGCTACCACATTAGTCGCGGACAGGGGGAGGGGTCGTATCGAGACCATTTTTAGAGGGGGAAGGGTCCTTAGCAGAAATTTATCACAGCGCGATAGGTGCCCTGACTGCTAATCACGTAAACGAGGGCAAATAGACAACGAATGACAAAGAGGCGAAGCGGAAAAGAGCAACAAAAAATTTCTACGAGTCTTCGGACAATTGTCACCATGTTTATGATGTACCCTTTGCAATGCGAATGTCTCACCGTCCCTGGTAGGATTATTACAACGCTGACTCTGTTTGCAGACGTATCTTTTTCCATCACTTATTGTCCTTCGAAAGAAGGCTGCACATGCTGCGCAGGTTCGCGCTCCAAAATGCAAACCATTCGCAAGTGTCGAGGTGCAGACCTGCAAATGTTCCGATTGTTGAACAGACGGAACTGCACTTTTCATAAGCCCTCAATAAGAACATACTTTGCATGTGACCAACCTGACAGTTCTGAACAGAATTGCATGAAATCTCGATCTGCTTGCACAGGCTGGAATATTGAACAGTTGGACTAGATGGTGGGTTCACATAGTTTTGCAAGGGAGCATACTGATGCACATTAAATCCTTCCTACAAAGAGTTTTATCTGGCAAAATAATCTTCGAGAGAATCCTCCTGGTTGAAATCGTCTTTAACACCTTTCTCAGCGGAAAATGAGGTATATCCATGCTCTGCGTGGGATACTGAAACATTGTGTTGTTGAATAGCGTGAACTCGGCATCGGTGATGCTGAAGGATGAGTATAATGATTTCATGCAGACTTTAAAAATCTGTCACTTATTTTTAGACATTATTGTTCCTGTGTTTAATTGGCACACAGCGCAGATTCAATGTGCCATTTTAATCGCACCAAATGCTAAACATTTGCGTGTCTCTGTGAAATGTTCCTAAACTTGGAACTCGATACGATTAAAGACTTGGTTTCCATGACCTGAACAGACCAGGGAATCACATCCTAAGTCTAGAATAACAGAGGGTGTACAGTATCCCAAGATCAGGCGTCGAATTAAACGTTTGGCTCCCGTGAACACACACCACATCTCCCACGTCTAACAAGGGAAGGATACCAACTTATCATGGCCTCTCAAGATGTGTACTCATATGCGTCTTCGGACGCTGATCACAAATCTGACCACCAAATCTGCTTAAAGATTCTGGGAACTAATCTTTGGCCCTTTTTCTTGCCTGCACTATAGGTGCTTGCAAATCCTTCGGCGTGCATGTAAAGCTTTTGAGAACTTTGCTGTGTGCAACGATGGAGCAGGTGGTAGGTGAACGGCCTCTTAGAAGAAGCGCCAAGGTTCATCACTGTGCATGTGATTGTTTTGCTTTTCCTTGGAGCATACGCCAGACGTTTGAAAACAGTTTCCACGAGTTAGTTTGACTTGTTATACCCTTTACTGCAGTTTTTACGAGTCAATTCGACTCGTTATACCCTTTACTGACACTGATTGTGCACTGGGAATGGTTACCCAAGGTTTAATCCATTTTGACTCTTGAGTGCTTAGGGCGAAGAGCAGCGTTTTTGCTAAACGAGTATGCCGGTCAAAGTACCTCTATGGACAACTCCCGGCTGAATCTGAGATTTCGACCTAATTTCGAAGGAGTGGGATAGTCATGTGAAAAACGAAAGCGCAAGGTCAGCCAGTCAACAATGGCAGGTCTGGGCTTGCAGTTATCAGGAAAATGAAAGCGGAGAGATGATGTTTTTAAGGGTAAAATCCCTAATATATGTACTGGTACTTTGTTTGCTTGTTTGTCTGTTCGGAAATTCGGTTCTCCCTGAACTTGGAGTGGTTTGATCAAGATTGGGATGGGTAGGGCATGGAGCAAGATGTAAATAGCACCCGTGACCTATGCTTAGCCCCACCCAGACGAAGGGGCATGTACCAAAAGTAAGCCGTATAGGAGACAAAATTTATAACTCGGCTTGAGAGCGACCCAGAAATGGGAAAAAGTGGACTTAGGTTAACAAGAAGTTGACAGACTAACGGGGGGGGGGGAGGGGAGGGGAGGGGAGGGGAGGGACACCCCCGGAATAGGCGGAGTGCACTTCGGAAAGGTGGTATTCTCCACGGAATTCGGTAACCCGGTTCTCGAGAGAGTTTACAGATTGCAAAAAGGTTGGATGAAGAGGGTACCCAGTAAGAGTTCATCATATCTGTGCTTTGTTGGGTCCCGCCTATAGTGGGTGGAGAGCGCCTTCAAGGATGAATCAATGATTTCGAAAAATTATAGCTTGGTTCCAGAGCATTCCAGATACCGGGAGCAGGAGTAACGCAGATTAACGCTGGTAATGCGTCCCATGAGTTGAGCAAATCTCTCTTTTCAGCGCTCCTTATCAAGGCCGTAGCAGTTATTACAGCTTCTGTTATCAACCATTAGCGTTCCAGCGGGACGCGCGCTATGGGTTTTTGACACACCCACATATACAGTATAGACTGAACAGTCTAGAGGTCTACAGAAAGTCTCCTCTTTCAGGAGTACTCTTTTTTCCCCAACAAATTTTTTATACACGAGGCGAGTGAATCCAGGCCGTGGTGTAGTTGAATTTAAAATCGATCTATAAACATACATGGCATGGCATTGTATGTTCGAAATAGTAATTTTCTTACTATTCAAGTTCTCTTCTATAAAACTTCACATGGCAAAATAATGATCTAGGCCCGGGCTAGTAGAATGCAATTACTCCTTGTTGACGTCACTCGGGACATTGCGACCGAGGCCTGCCAATATTTCGTGATAAACACGATCCCCATAAGGTTACGAGATTATGTGGTGGTCGTTCTGTTTGCAGTTGGCCTGAGTTGTCGTAAGAGCCCTTCGAGATTTACTCTTCTCAGCCTTAATCCTGAATAATGGTTTTTTTGGCATTTATAATAATGACTGTCGTTACCTGTCGTAGATATTCCATTCTAAACATGCAAACAAGTTTTCCCGCTGCAAGTCTTTTTTCTTAAGATTCTCTCGATCGGCTGAATCTCTTTACATTGACCGTTGTTGCTGCGCTCATTCAAGGGATGCTTTCCATATAACCACAACGATTCTTTCACACGACTCGCTCCAGCCGTCTATTGAACCTCATGAGCCTTTTTTCATGTTTTCCGCGATCGGCCTTCGATTAATCTTGGCATTAGTGACGTAGTCATCCAATATATTATTTCCTTAGCCACCCGAGATGGTACAGATGATTTATTCTGCTAACGTTTCGGCGAACATCGCCTTCTTCGGAGCCTGCAAGTCGAAACCTATCATCGAAACAAGTCACCCAATCACCATTTCATAACTACAGTAAGAAAACACGGGCTAAGAGATCCTAGAACCGAGTCGTAAAGCCACTAACCTTTCGACGAATAGAAGTTCTCCCGTTCACTCTCTCAAGACTGCACGAGGGTTTTTTTTTATTTGTTCAAAAGCAGAGGTAAGTAGCTGAGTGTGAGAACTAACCTCTGGGCAATTCTAATTCAAAATTTTTTTAGGTTGGAGCGGATTTTGTAGAGATCTTTCCCCCCACCACAGGATTGATCATTAGATCAATAGTCCCACAAGGCTGCCAGAAGATCTGAGGTCCCTTCGGATCGCCGCGCATTCAACATAATTATCGTTTTTAAGGGTAATGCTGAATAAGTCCTCGTAGCGCCTCTCCCCCCGCGGGGGTACTGAAGGCATAGATCGAGAGCCACAAAGGTTCGCGAAGGGGGGCAGCTCCATGGTAATCGCAATTCGCTACTCCTACGTCTTGATTTTAAGGTTCTTGGCATCAGTCCACAATGCTTCAAGTGTCTTACGCGCCGATACATCCTGTTCTCCTGCTTGTATCACTACTTTCATGGCGGTGTCCTCACTTTGATGTTCTTTGAGCCTTGTGGTCGCCGAGAGGAGTGCATATCTTGGACTTCTTCATTCCATCCAAGTGCCCCTTCACCCTGACACAGAGCGGTCTTCCCGTTTCCCCCACATATTCGTCCCCGCACACCTGACACGTTATGAGATAGACTACTCCTGAGGTCATACAATCACCACTCCTTCCAAATGGACAAATTACGCAGGAGGGGTTAGGCAAAGTCGGTCATACAGACGCCGGACCAACTGCCTCTCCAGGTTTGATTGAGGAACCTAACCACGTCCTGGAGATTCATTTTCGTAAGCGCACGCGCGGAGCAGCGCTCAGTTCATCCGATACAAATGGGATACAGAATGGTAGCTTGGCCTGCTCTGCTTCCTGCCTATCTTCTGTCCTAGTGTCTTCTGTTCCATGTCGGCTGTCCACAGCGAACATAACAGTTCTCCTTTGCTATACGATAGGTCAGTGACTCTGTTCTGCACGCGCCTTCAGATGAGACTGCAGAGGCCTCGGAACATGTTTTTGACAATGGCATTTTTGGTATTAGGATGAGCCGAGCTGGAATGAACAATTATATTTTCACTGCCAGGTTTTCGAAACCACCTAGTTCTATGGACTCCGCGCGAGAAATGTTTTTGTACGTTGAGGATGGCAAACTAATCCTTTGTCGGCGACAAAGTATTGTCATGTGAACTTTATGTGTTCAGCCTGCTCGTCTTAGCAGGTGAAAGCAGGAGTGCATCTAGGATTGGGTGGAACATACGATGAAACAATCATCGATATACCTGCAGTACATAATCGATTTCCATTCTAGGAGGGGTTTTTCAACTTCACACATGAACGCTATTGCCAGAGCAAGAGCTAACCTCTGCCCCCATTGCTAGTCCTCCAATCTGTTCATAGTATTCCCTCGACCACTGAAGACGTCACCGAGGCATTCGTCGAGTAATGCCATCACTTCCAAATGGAGAGGCTGTAAAGATTGAGTCTTTCGTGTGTTCGGTGAGGATCCCAGGACTGTCTGCATCGCACCATCTTTATAGACGTTCGGGTATAACGACTCCATTACGTTCCCCTCATCTAGCCAGGCCCTGATCGAGCTTTTGAAGGAACATATTAGTGTTTGTTAGGTGTGCGGGGCGAATTGAAAGTTTGATCAAATATGAGGTTCAGAACCAGGAGATCCTATCCGTAGGCTCACTGCTTACATTGGTCTGACCTTGAAGTCCGTAGAGTTTGTCATTCCTAGCCTTTGTGAAGGGAGTTTGTGGGTTTTTAATAAGCACGTACAACACGGGTCAAATGGGTGAGTCGCTTCAACCTCGTCACCAGATACCTTCACAAATTCAGCGAATTTGGTGACTTAGCGACTTCAGCCCATTCCCAGTTGAGTAGACTGTACTGCCTAGCTAACTCCTCCTGCGTGGATGGGCTTACGTTGTTTTATCCTGGAGATGTAATCGTGCAATAGCCCTGTCCAAGCTCGAGGAAGCAGGACTGAGGGAGGACGACAAGCTTCCCACCCTTGTCGCTCACCGAAATTTTTATAGCACCCGACTCCGATAACTCCCTCAGTTCTTTGAGGCCTCGCCTTTGCGCTACGTTGAGGTTGGAAGAGGCGCGTTTTCGAATGGTTCGGCGTAGCACTGAGGTTCCAAATAAGCGGAAGTTTGTATCGATAGAACTATTAGCTAGACCACTTCCTAGACCACCTCTTAGACCACCGTCACATTAGAGCCAATCACTCGTTCAGCGCCAGTCTTGTGAGCTACCGAGTTTCCTTCAGTAGAGTCGGTTGTATGATAGGTATCGGACTTACGACATCGTTCTTGACTCACTAATTTAGCG